GTAAAAAATTTAAAATAATTAAAAAAATACTTTGGTTTTTCCTCTTAATAATAAACATTTTGACAATAAAATTTTGTTTTTATTAAGTTTGGGGCCTTTTTTTTATCATACTTAATTTTAATGCATGAGGGATAAAACAGGGTGGTAACCCTGGTTCAATATCTAACAGCATGACATTGCCTACTGACAATTTGAAACAGGAAATAATTAAGATCAAAAAGTGAAAGAATTCAGAGAAATTAATTTAGTGTCAGGTAGAATAAGGAAAGAAAGAACCAATTAAAAATATTAATCAGAAGCTACAAAATGAATTTGGAGAAGACTCTAGGAAGATTTGAACCTGAAATAAACCAAGTAGACATCATTAAGATTTAGTAAGACTAGATCTTACCCCAACCTAGCCAGTTTCCTCAGAAGCAGTATGACAAGATTTATGGTCTTCTAAATATTCCCAAATTCCAAAGAATAATTCTTGCTACATTTATTTAAAATACTATCAAACCCTACAAATGTTTATATCATTACCAAATTCAATATTAGTGGGTTGAACTGACTGCATTCCATACAAAGAAAGGCCAAGAATAACATGTAATAAATCAATGATAGAAGTGCTCAAACTTTATTTAAAAGCAAGGACAGTCAGGGAGAGAGAGAGGGAGCATTTGGCATTGGTGTTATTGTTTGTGAGTAGCTCATGAGGTGGTCCCCTCTCTCCAGCTGACATATGATACTCAATGAATCTTGGCTGTGTAACGACATCAAGTAAGTCACATTATATTTAACAAGAGCATTGTTCTCTTTATTTTCTTTAACTTCACAAATACATTCTTCTTTTGTACTAACAAGTTCATAAAAGTCTTCACCAGTATTTGGTGAGAGCTTTGAAAATTTCTTGGTCAAAATAATAATCTCTGGTGCCTGGGGCTTATCACCTTGAAACATTGGTTCCCATACAATCACCGGCTTTAAGCAATGTTGAATCTGGTCAGTACCTAGATGGGTGATTTCTTGGGAATACCAGGTACTGTAAGCTTGGATGTGCTGGTGGCGTAATGGATTATGGCTTGGAGTTGTTAATCAGAAAGCTGAGTCCCAATTTCAGTTGAGTTTGTTATATTCACTTACATGCAAATACCCTTGGGATAGATATGAATCTACTTCTTCTCCCTCATCTAGGGGTTAATTAGTGAGAATTGTATCACTAAATTATTATCTCCCCCTCCAAAAAAATCTTACAATCTAAAAAATATTTTCTGACTTCAGATAATCTGCAATGGGTTGAAAAGATGTAGAAAGTGAATTAAACAGTCATTCAATCTGGTGCCTGGACCTTCTCTATATTTACTCCTTTTCTTGAATAGTCTGATAATATTGATAATCTAGTGCTTGGGACTCATCTGTATTTACTCATTTTCTTTTTCCTATAGTATATCCAACATCACATGGTTTTCTTCATGGGTTATTTAGACCTGTATATCATCTAATCCTGCACAGCATATTCTCTTTCCATTCTGTCAATCTGTCGTTCCTCTCCCAGAACTACCAAAAAAATGGAATAATGGAGTGGTGTCACAGAAGTGTCAAGAAGATTGCATTCAGGACGGAGTGCAATGTTGAAGAGGCCACCTACTAGTACAATATCACTCCCAAAGATGACACTTAACTACTGACAGCACCCACAAATCAAGTCTACAGATACAAGGTCTGACTTAAAGAGATTGATTCAGTACCTCCAATGATGTCTGAAGTGGATCACAAAGTGTACAAGATGGGAAACCCTGTTGTGGGTAAAGGCCCCACACAACCAGTGTACAACAACTTTTGGAAAGGGACGAATTACTGGATTTGTTAGTTTGCAATTAATCTTGGTGAAGAGAATGCCACAGCATGTCATAGACCATCATCCTTTCCTGAGTTCACTATTTCCAACAAGTGGTGAAGATGTCCAAAAGTGAGGAGGAAATCCTTGTGAGTGCAGATATAATAGATGATCTCACAGAGGAAGAATCACATGGGGATGAGGTGTAGGAACACAAAACAACCCCACTTCAGAGAAGCACTTGATGGAAGAGACCCACTCCAAGTTGTCATATCAGATCAGGGAGGAATGTGGCAAATGCACGTCATTACAGACACAAAAGAGGCTCCGAGTCATGTGTGGACATAACTGTCTGTTATGTCTTCATTGCTTTGTGTTGACATAGTCTTGCTGAAATAAGTAGTAAGCAGATAAGCTAGGTCACTAACTATCTACTTGTTTACTCCTGCTACTGATGATTCTCGGCATCCGTATTTATATATTTGGACGAGTCCAAGTTCTCTTCTTGAGAGATGTGTTCATCTCCACAACATTGTCAAAGCTAGTTACATCCAGGTTTTTTTCTGTTAGCAGTGTTCTGCTAATCTTGGCATGTCTAGATATGGGTCCCATTGCAACTTGTCCAGACCTGGGACTTGTCAGCTCTCTCATGCCAATAAAAGTGAAAACCAGCAGTCAGTAGTTGACAAGACTCAGTGTATTGTGAAGTCAATCCCGTAGGCAGTGTTATTTTGTTTCTTCCTGACTCTTCTCCTTCTCTGTCTGTTGTACTTGAGTGAGCAATTGGTTAGGTGTTTCCACCAACCTGTACACACCCTTGCTATATTTTACATGTATGTAAATGAGTTGTTGACAAAATATAAAAATCATTCATGGCCATTTATATCAGATAAGCTTCATGCTTGTTTTTTTTTTTTTTTTTTAAGCATTTCCCCCCAAGCAAGGAGCTAAAACCACTAAGATGCAACGGCTTAATTAGAGTAAAAGAAAATGAGAAAATATTATTAAGAAAAAAGGACAAGAACATAATTGACACAGTATTTAAATTTTTGAAGATTGTAGTTGACAGAAAAGCAAGAAGAGAGTTGCACAACCAAGAATTGTGAGAGAAGAATCTATTAGAATAGAACTAACACTCACATCTAGCAATTTCAACTATAAAATGATGAGACCTAGGTACCAATCTAGTATTACGCATGTAGTCGTATACCTATGGATGTTAATGGGTATGCCCCCATTCACATTAATACAGTAGTAAATACCGTATGTTGGTCTAGAGTTGGAGATTCATTTCCAGCTGTGCTGATCAAATTCTCTGCCTCTGGGTAGAGAGGATCCCCAGATGAGGCTATGTCGAAGGACAGAGTCTCATCTCAGGAAACAGCTACCTGACCCCGTTTTATATGGGGTCTATGGGAAATTTTTGGCCGAGCCTACAGGCTCAGATACCCCAAATTAAATTCAACCTTGTGCAATATCTGACTGTGTGGGGTAGTTGGTAGATATCCTAGAGTTGGAGATTCATTGTAGAATTCACTGGACTCACTTCTAGCAGTTGACTACTTCTTCTACATGCCGCTGGAGTATCTTATATGTGTTGTTCTTGTACTAAGTATTATCGTTCATTACCAACCTACATTTGATTATTTTATTCAGTAACCTTCCCTCAGTTACAATGCTCAAATTCATAAAGTTAAGGTATCAAAGAGGAAAGCTCATCAGAACAATTACCATGAAAATATTTATAAAAATGATAAAGGGAAGCTATGGGCAGCAGTGGGAAAGTGATTGAAGCACAGTTGTCAAGTTATGACTGATAACACGACAGATTCTTCTTTGAATTTTGTTAAGAATCTCTATTTCTCTCTCTCTCTCTCTATATATATATATAAGCAAAAGCCCCAGACCATAGGTGGCAACAATATTCAGTGCAAGGAATAAAGGTAGACTTAAAAATGTGCAAAATGGATTCGAGTGGGAAAAATTGTTTAACACAAAACAGTAAAAACTTTCCTAGCACCAAATATGGCAATTGATTCAATAAAAATTTTCCATTGCAAAATTTGAGGACAATGATCTGAAACATTCTCAGAATTCTTGTAAAAGGAAATCAAGAATTATTTCTAAAAATGCCCAAGTGAAGCAGATCTGATAGTTGGAATGAAAATTGACAAAACTGACTTGATAATTCTGGTCAGTCTGATGAATCATCAATAAATGAAACAGAGCCCCAAAGTTCTGACCAGACTAATGAATTTCTAGCCTACTATTATAAGAATGGCTGGTACAATAACTTATATTAACTAATCACTGATAAAATAAGGAATTTTTCCCACTTGAATCCATTTTGCACATTTTTAAGTCTTTTTTATTTAACTATTTAACATTTTTGGCTCACTATCGCAAAAATGGGATGTTAGGCACTAACGTGTTACAGGTAGAAACCTACAATATTGGGCTTTTTTGCTTTCTTTATAAACTTATAATGCAAGATTTTTTTAATACAGGATTTTTATTTCTATAATTAATGCCCAATTTTTATTTTCAGTTCTTTAATACAAGAGTTTTATTTCTATAATTGATACAGGATTTTCATTTTGACAATTGATATGGGATTTTGGTTTCTATAATTGATATGGGATTTTGGTTTCTATAATTGATATGGGATTTTGAATTTTATAATTAATGCCTGATTTTTATAATTAAGGCCATAGTTTTTTTTGTAATTGATACTGGATTTTTATTTTTATAATTCATACAGTTTTTTTTTTTTGATAATTAAAATGCACAATTTTTATAATTTCTATCCAATTTTTATTTTTCCTGTGCAAAATTTTGTGGTAGACATTAATTGTTTAAAAGGGAAATATACAAAAGATATTGTATGTACTCATAAAAAATAATTTCATATCAATGGAAAAATTAAGGTAAAAAAAAAAGAAAAAAAGAAAATGTAAATGACACTCAATTAAGAAATTCAAAAAGAAGAAAAGAAATTGGTCAGCAGCTGTAATGTGGCAAAGATAACAAAAATGAAGAAAATGATTCAAATAATCAATGTATTATCATATCAATTTAGAAAGAAAGTTGGAATGTACAACAGTTCAAATGTTGTCATGAAGAGAATGATAAAAATAGATTAATGTGTAATAGGAATTAACAGCTTTGGAATGTCCATTACCTGATCTGCAAGTTCGTGTGGATCGTAGAGTGCATTCTTAAGCAGGTATTCCTGGCAAAGTGGGAAATGCAATTGTGAACTCATTTTGAGTAATGAGACCCCATCAGATGTAAACAAGCACTGAAGTAACACAGCATCTTTTCTGTTTAATAAAATCAGATTCAGCAGTTTTTCATCAGCTGTGTTTTCATCATACTCCTTTTTTTCAATCTGTTGCAGAAAATCTAGCAGATCTGAAAAATAAAAACAAAAATAAAGTGTCCAGAATTTATAGTTTTTTAAAAAAAAAAAAAAAAAAAGAAAAGGAAAAGATAGCTTCTCAATGTTCAGAATATTCTCCAGATGTTATTTCAGTTAAGATCAAAATGCAGTGAGTGTACAAATATGGCTCATCTTCAACAAAAATTACCCCATTCAACTAGATAGACTATTTAAAATAATAACTGTAATAATTTATAAGGACCCCCAGATTTAGGTTGCCAGAATATGAGACATTCAGGCCACTAGTGTCCCAGAATGGTTCCCCAAAGCTCCAGTATCATTGAGGGCATTGGGGTACCACTGAACTTAAAGAGCTACATTAAGAAAATCAGAATAAAGCCTAGTATCCCATCACTTCAGAAGTCTGTGTTGACACTGTAAATGTTCTGCAAAAGGTGCTATCTTGATAGAGAACACCAAAAATACAAGATCTCATGTTGAAAACAAAAACCTTGCAGAAAAAGAGAATAAATTAACAATAATAATCAATCAAGGTCAAGATAGACAAAAGGTGGGATAAGCAACAGTTAGGGTCCCAAATATTGGTAAATAGTTAACCCCCCAAACTGGGGTCAAAATACTATGAAATTATAAAAATAGATTTTTATAATAAAATTACCAGCAATACATTTTTTTTTAAATTGCCAGCAATACTTTCGACTCTTGGCAAAAACCCTCTTTACAAAAGTACATCAACGAAACTTGATCAACAAACTTCATACAAAGCTATCCTAAAAAATCTTGTTGGCATTAAATAACCCGTTGAGGTTGATATGCTGTAAAAAAAAACAACAAATAAAACAAATAAACCGAGATAGACAAATCACAAGAAAAAAGCAAATGCAGGATGTGTGGACAAGCTGATCAAGCAGTTAACCATATACTTGGTGGAGATTCCAAGTTGGTACAGAAGGAGTATGTGATAACATGATTGGATTAGGAAGAGAATCTATTAGGAATATGTATGTCTTCAATATGAATGAAAATGGTATGAATATCAGCCATAGGTAGTGGTATAAAATGACAATCACAAGATATTATGAGATTTCTCTGTCCAGATAGATTATACCATTGAAGTACAGTGATGCAACCTTATTGTTATAGATAAGGAAAACTACAAGTGTCAAATTTATTGATTTTGCTGTTCAATACGATACAAGAAACTTAAAAGATAGAAAAATACCAAGATCTATTGAGGAGGTTGAGAAAGCTATCGAACATGATTGTTGAAGTAATTCCTGTAATAATTGGAACACCTAGAAACTTGAAAGAGTGCTTAGGGAGAATTGGAATTAAGATTGTAGAGCTCCAGGAAACAGTCATTATTTACTCTACAAAGATCAAATTTTTGAAGATCAGAGTTGGCTAGAAAACAAGAAGCCAGAAAAAAATTCCACAGGCAAGAAATGTAAATAAAGAAACTGTTGGTAACATTTTAGAATATACATTATGTGATGCAATTTTCTTTTCAGAAACAATCTCCTTGATATTTTAAAACCTTTGTTTTGTACAGCACAAGACCATATTTTCAAATGTAAATGTTTGTACCTTACTTTTCAAACATCTTTTGCATTTATTCCAGCTGGTACAGAGACACCAAAATGAGTCAGTCATGAGATTATGTTAAGAAAATCAGTGTTTGTGAAGCTTTTGGGAAGAGGAACCTAAAATAGTTGTTAGTGGAGTCTTGCTGTGGAAATAGAAACCAAAGATTGCCTTTAACATGTGAATATTATATCAAAAGTCATTAACAGTTTCAAAATCCAAAGCCTTCTATCTGAAGGGAAAACAAAACAGAACATCTGTTAATTTAATAAGGGTTTCCAGGAAGTGATGAAAAGATATTTTACTGAAGTTTCCTGCTAGGAACCAACTCTTAAAAATGTCACATTTTACTTTTTCATAAAATCTATTAAATTTCTACTCACTGATACCACATATATCTCAGTATTAGGATCTTTTTATGCATTTTCCTTATCCTAGTCTGTATAGTCTCATTAGGTCACAAAATAATATAAAAGTGATACATATTTAATGTATGAATACTACATGGAGATACATTAACAGTTTAAAAGTTAAAAAAGTGCATGTATTCTTTTAATAAGGGTGTGAAGGAACTGATGAAATATTAAGAATTGTTACTGAGATTTTGCACTGGGAATATAAAATATGAGAAATACTGCATTTTCCTTTGCCATAAAATTTATAAATTTCTTCTTACTGGTTCCACATTTTATGACATTTTTATTTTCTTCATCCTAGCTACAAAGAGTCCTGTATAGTCTCATTATGTTACAAAATAATATAAAACTGATATATATTTAATATGTGAATGCTATATGGAGAGACATTAACACTTTAAAAGTCAAAAGCATGTCTCTGAAAATAAAAATGTATATATTAATTTAATAATGGTTTCCAAGTAGTAATGAAATATTAAGTTATTATATTGAAGATTCCTGCTAGGAATATCTTATACTTGTGCTTGTTCCTTACTTAGTTACTTAGTTCATCTGTCCATTACGCCCTGATCTGAGTACTGATCTGTATTCAGTGTTTCACTGGCAGCGATTTTCAAAGAAACAGCCTCATCTACCGAGTGGGAAAACACAATCAACTTTTTGGGACTGCAATTCTTTCATTTCATTTTTGTGTTTCATTGTGTCTCAACAAGCTTTCAAAATTTGTTCATCAGTGAAAAGCATTAAATATATCTTCAAGTACATGTACAATGGACATGACTGTGCCTCTGTTGAAGCAAGAGATAACCTACTACAGATCATGAGCAGAATCAAGCTCATGATGAAATTACTAATTATCTTGCTTGCTGATATGTTTCTCTTCCAGAAGCTATGTGGAGATTGTCAGAGTTCAAGATATATGACACATCTCACAATGTCTACAGATTTGCTGTATATCTTGAAAACCAGTAGAGTTACTTCCACAGAGGCAACACTCACCAAGTTGCTCAGGCACAGAGGGACCGTGACATTACCCTCACTGCATGGTTTAAACTGAATGAGCATGATGATGATGCAAGGAACCACTTGTACCCTGACATTCCGCTGCATTATGTGTTTAATAAGCATTCTAGAAGATGAACACCGAGGCAAAGGAATATGAATATCATCAGTAGAATGCATACTACAGTGAGCCCCAGAGACACAGAAAAGTTTCACTTGCAAATGTTGCTGCTGCATGTTTTAGGCATCATGAGCTTCCAGGATGTGTGCATTGTAGAAGGAGAAAACTTGCCAACATTTAAGACAGCATGCCTGAGATATGGTCTTCTTTCAAATAATGACACACTGAAACATGCATTGATAGAAGCTGCTGCCTGTTTGCTGCCCTTACAGTTGCATGTTATGTTTGCTGCCCTGTACATGAACCCTGCAAATGCTCTTCACCAGTGGACCACTTGCAAGGAATCCATGATTGAAGATTTCTTGCACCAAGGTTTTAATGCAGACCACATGAAAACACAGCACTGCACTCAATTGATGCAATTCTGATAGAGAATAACATTAACTGTTTAGCAACTGGGCTGCCTGAACCTATTGGGAATAACGCAGCTTGACCATCATGAAGACCTCGATCACCTATACATGGAAACACTTACTGATGAAAAGAGACTGATTGTTAATGCTGTGCTTGAATCTGTAGATAAGAAGAGGAGAGGTGAGGTGCCCAACCATTCCTGTTTCTTCTATGTAGATGCACCAGGAGGGTGTCGTAAAATTACCATACCATAATTTCTTATCTGCAAAGGAACAGCTTCAATGTGTGCAGTGGTGCTTGGACAGGCATTGCCTCTACACTACTGTCAGGTGGAAAGACTATTCATAATTTGTTCAAATTGCCTGTCCTATTCATGGAAGCCATCATTTGTAATGTACCAGCAACAGACCATGCAGATTATTTACAAAACCTGGATTTGATCATCTTGGATAAGGCCTCTATGATCCCTCCATTTGCTCTTCATACTATTGATAAATCCTTGTGAGATATCATTAGCATTGATGCTGCTTTTGGTGGTAAAGTTGTTCTCTTGGATGAGATTTTAGGCAAGTCTTACCCATATTACCAAGAGGAACTCATGAGGCAATCATTGAAATCTGTATTAAAAATTCTCTACTATAGCTGATTTTCATCCAATACAGATTAAGCCAAAACATCAGGACAACAGCAGATCAAAGGGAATTTTCAGCATGACTCTTGCATCTTGGCAATGGAATATCAGCAGCTTCACAAGATCCTAATCTTGCTGTTGATAACATAGAAGTGACTCAAATTTCATGAGTTAATGTCTCTGGTGGATGATATCTTCAACAATACATCTGAGGAAAAGAGAAGGAGTAGAGTCATTCTTTTGCCAAAGAACTCAGACTGCCTCCTGATCAATGAAGAAGTTTTGAGACAACTTCCAGGTGACTGCTGCGCCAATTATATTACAGATAAAGTTTTGACAGATGTTTCTGCTGAGGCTGAGCACTACCATCTCAAATTTCTAAACTCTTTGACACAATCAAGAATGCCTCCTCATATAAATTGAGTTTAAAATCCAGCTCAATAGTAATGCTTCTTTGTAAGATTTCTCTCTCCACAATGGTACAAGACTGGAAGTGGTAGCCATGCATCAACATTCATTTGAGGCTTTTTTGATTAGCGGCTCAGTAATTGGCAGACTTGTCCTCATCCCCAGAATAAAGCTGGCTCCAAGCAACACTAACTTGGCATTCATCTTGGAGAACCCAGTTTCCTGTCCGTTTGTCATATCCCATGACTATTAACAAGGCACAGGAGCAGATTTCTGAGAAGGTGGGATTGTTCTTACCTCAGCCAGTGTTCAGTCATAGGCAATGTATATGGCATACTCTAGAGTTTGTAAACTCTCAGATGTAAGGGTTAAGGTGATAGAAACAGACAAAGGAGAAAGAAATGAACTGTTACTAAGAACATTGCCTGTTGAGAG